ATTCAAATAAAAGTTCAAGCAAATATGCTTATAACACAACATTCAAATGAATTTACAAATATTCATTTTGATGATAATGATTGGAAAAATTTAAACGTAAGTTGGATTAAATGTAATTATTAATAAATAAATATTAATTATTTAAAATTTTTTTTTTATTCCTAGAAACTTGTATCTGTTTTGTCACCTTTTTACTCTGCTACTTTGACACTTTCTTCATCTATATATTCAATAATTGGAGATCTCTGCCTGACTTTTTGGACTTTAATCCAACATTTACAATATGAAATTTTGGTTAATCAGATACAATATTTATTAGCAGATTCTATACTTCAAAAATTAAATGAATATTGAGAGATTATTGATAATACAACAATCATAGCAACAATATTAGATCCACGTACTAAATGCTTCACTTTTACATTAAAAGAAAATACAAGAGCGATTGAAATTATTAAAAGAAAAATGAATAATTATGCTCAAAATAATAATGATAATATTGTAAATGTAGCATAACAATGTAGATTGTCTCAATCACAAACGTTTAATAGACTTGATACCCGTGTTCACTTAAAAGTCTAGTAGATAAATTTTGTCCAACAACACAATCCATTTCAAGTAATGAACTAAAAAGATATTTATCTTTGCCTCAAGATGATAATTGTGATCCTTTAATATAGTGGAATTCTTATAAAAAAAATTTTCCAATTCTTTCAACCATGGCTAAAAATCATCTTGCTATTCAAGCAACTTCAGTATCCTATGAACAAGTATTTTCTATTGCTGGTTTAACTATTTCCAAGGTGCGAAATCGGTTAAATCCAGAAATAGCTTATGCCTTATTATGTTTAAAAAGTTGGATTACTGAAAAAATTGGTGAAGATAATAATAAGGATGATTAACCTGATAGTGATGATGATGGTGATGATGGTGAGAAAGAAAATAAAACAAATGAATAGGTTTAAATTTTAAGTGAAAGATTTTATTTTTGATGTTAACTAAAGTTGCTTGCCGAAACCTAGGGGTTTAGGCAAGATGGCGTTTCACCGAAAAGTGAAATCCTGTTGAAACTATATTAAAGTTATATTAAAAAACTGGCGAAACTTTGGAGAAAGGTGAAACTGCTGAAACTTATTATAAATGCTGAAACTGCCAAAACTCTGTCAAAACTATAATAAATCTATAGTAAAATTTTGACGAAACTAATCGTAGAATTTTGAAGAGGTTTAGACAAGTAACCTTAGTCACGTGATTTGACGAATAATTAAGTAAACTAGGTTTATTTACTTTAATAAGAAATTAAATAACTATCAAATTATTAGACTTACTGAAATTATCACATTTTGTATATTTGAAAATATACATGCCACCCAAATTATTTTGGACTGCCGTAATTATAAGTAAAATCCCAAATTCAATTATGGCATCCCAAATTATTTTAGCACTTTATATAGTAAATTATATATAAACTGAATGAATTATGGCATCCCAAATTATAATTATGGCATCCCAAAATAATTTGGGCAGCATGTATATTTGAAAATAAAATTACTAAATAAAATAATATTATTAATAAATTATTGTTCAAAGTGAAGTGAAGGATTTAGTTTATTTATATACATTATGTCACTGAAATTTATGCTACATTAATAAATAACAAATTAAAAATAAATGGTATAATACAAAATTTTATTGCTCCATTTCTTAGTAATTAATTTTATTTGTATAATAAAATAAAGTTAATATCTAAAATTAACTATATTTTTCATCTACTAATTTTTTAACAATTTTTCTAGCAAAGGTTGCTAAAAAAAAAGCTTTTTCTTTTTTCATCTAAGTAATTATAAAATGTAAAGAATTCTTTTTAAATCTGGACTAAAATTTACAGTTTTAAAAGAATTCTGCTTATAATTTAAATGTTACTATAGAAAATTTTAACTTTATATTGAGAAGAAAACTCTTTCCATCAATCGTTAGACCAAATTTTTACACCGCAGTTTATGATAAAAAATATCACAACTATATATAGAAAAGTTATAAGAAATCGTTTATTTTGTACAATACAAAAGGAGAGAGATGAAAGGGTAAAGTTTACTTCTTCGCAATTGTCAAAAAATAATAACGCTTTCTTTTTGAACCAAACTGTAGTTTAACAACTCAAGAGTGCTTCTTCATACCGCAATAAAGTTGAACTGTTATTGGGAAAGCTAAACAGTTTCAACTATTTTTTTCTCTAGATAGTATCATTTCAGAATAAAATCCTACAGAAAAAAAGAATTATGTCTATCGGATTATTTCAGATGTACCAGGGTTGAGGACTTAATACTAAACAAAAAGGTAATTATTAAATTACTACTAGTCATTTTAAAAAAAAAATTATTTAGTTTCTGAATTTTGTAAATAAATGAAATTAATTAAAAATATATAAATTACTTAGCTTTTGTTTGTTAAAATTAGAGATGGAAAAGGTTGAAGCTAGAAAAAATAGTTACTGAAAAAAAAAATTATTTAAATTATTATTAGTTTCTGAATTTGTAAATAAATGAAATTAATTAAAAATATATAAATTACTTAACTTTTGTTTGTTAAAATTAGAGATGGAAAAGGTTGAAGCTAAAAAAATAATAGTAATGAAAGCTTATGAGTAAAATAAAATTTTCGCAATCATCAAAATAACAGTAAGTTAACTTAACTTTATAAATTTTAAAGTGAGTGGAAATGTGGAATTGAAGAAAGTCCAAAATCAAGAAAACTAAAAGAAAGTTAAAAGTTAGTGATATCAAAAATAAAATAAATAGAGAAAGAGAGACTTTTTTATATTGCAGTAAGTTAAACAAAAATAAATTAAAGATGTTAGCTGTAACTGATTGGATGATGCTAGGACCCGAAAAATACATATGGAAGTCATAAATGATCAGCAAGATTTTGGCCTAAAATAAGCAACTTTTCAGGGCCAGAATTAAGATAATACTAGCCAGTATCAAAACGGACAATAAAATTTAGGCCAGCACTATCTAAAAAAGGCAAGATTTTCATGAAAATTTAGGTTCTTTTTAAGCAAACTCAAATATGACCTTTTTATGTATTTTTTGGGATCCTGCAATGCTGTAATATTAGTACAGTAGAGATGTCTATCCACATTATGTGTTGCACAAGCATAGCGAACATGCTTTATATCACTTGATGATCATTTGCCGATCACAAATTTCATTTTATTAAAAATTATTAAATTATAAAAAAGTGCATGGCAAAGTAAATGCCTAAATAATAAAAAAAATAAAATATGCCACCTTTATATCTCGGGATCTAGTGATCAGATTTCGATGATCTTACTACCATTCGATTCGTCTCATCGAGGCGAATCTAATGATATGTGTTTCATTTCTATAGCACCGATATTGATAGAGTAAAATTACTATAAACATTTAATGAATTTTGGTGTCGGAGCACGATCTAGTGATTAGATTTGAATGAATTTACCACCATTCGATTCGTCATGACGAGACGATTCTAATGGCGGTAAGATCATCTTTCTAGCATTGAAATTGGCGGAGCTATTACGCTATAAATATTTAAAAGTTATTGGTATCAGATCGCGATCTAGTGATTTGATTTAAATGATCTTACTACCATTAGAATCGTCTTATCAAGACGAATCAAATGGTAGTAAGATCATCCAAAACGGATCACTGGGTGCCAAGTTATTATTTGTTAAAGTTTTTATATATAAATCGGCCAAAATTAAGGCTAATTCTGGCCAAATATTTTCGTAATACGAAATTAATTACGGAGTCCGAAATCAATTATGGAATACAGAGTTTTTCTAATGAATTACTTAATAATTACAGAATTACGTAATTACGTATTTCCGTAATACTAAAATAATTTTGGACACAAGTATAACTTTGATATATAGATGATTTTTAGTCTATAATACTAGAAAATTTAATGGCTAATGTAAAAAAAATGCTTCGTAACTTTATGGTCATAGTTCATAAAAATTAATTAATACCAAAATAGTGTTTGGAATCGAATATATTCGAATACACTCGAGTATTCATTTAAATTTATAAAGTGTATTCGAATAATATTCGAATAAGTTAAATTTCCTTTTATAGTAATGATTTACATGATTTTTAGCCTTTTAACTCAGTTAAATTTAAGGATTTAATGCCCAATTAGAATTTTAACTATACTATATCTGGCTAAATGAATACTCGAATAACCACTATACTTATTCGAATACTCGAATATACTCGAGTTATTCGAATAACCTGTCTCTTATACACATCTTATACTTATTCGAATACTCGAATATACTCGAGTTATTCGAATAACTGTTACATGATTCCAAACACTATACCAAAATAACCGAGAAAGAAGTTGTTATTCAATCTGGGCATCTAAAAAAATAAGCTTTACGTTTATTTATGAATTTATATAAATATTATGTTGATCAAAAAATTTAAATAAGCTTATAGTTGGTTAACCACATAATAGTTTTGATTTACTTAGTTGACTGACCACCCCAACGTGACGTGTTTAATTCTGGCCAGAATTAAATGATCGGCACAAAAATATCCTTTTTTGGAATAAAGGCGAGATTTAAGCATCACATATGGGGGCGAGATTTAGATTTACTTTTGTTATTGTGTCACCGAATTTTGTATTACAAATTCGTTATATAGAAGGACGAAATACTTTTTTTAAAAAATAGATATTTAGATGATGTGAAAAATTATGATACAAAATTTTAAACAGGAAATTAAACATGATTATGTTTTGTTTAGGGAGAGAAAATAAATAAACGTGTACAAATGCAACTTTATTAATTGCAGATGCCGGTTATTAGTACCAATAATTAGTTTCCATTATTAAATAAATTCGAACCAATGAAAATTCTCCGATATTGCCCTCAACGTATACTATTTATACAACTTCGTGGCTTTTTATTTACAAAAAAAATTTTTCTCCTTTTTTATTGTTAGTTTTTAAGTAGGTAAAGTTTTTTTTTTTATTTTATTTTATTGCAAATAAAAAAAAATTCGCGTCGAACATAGTCGTATTATTAACATTTATACTAATTATTAACTCGCAAAAAAGTTCTTTTTTTATTTATTTCCAAGTCAACAAAGGAAATAACACAACAGCAATATCCTTCCAACTAACTTACTGTCTTTATTTACGATTTTATTACAACAAAAGAGTTTCAATCAATAAAAGAACTTTGAACGTATCTATACAAAAAAATGACACCATTTCTACCGTCTGATTGTCTCCGAGAGATATTTGAACAAATGCAAGGGATATCAGGATCACAAAAGGAAGAAAGAGAATCATTGTTATCATGTTTACTGGTTAATAGACTATGGTGTGAAACAACTATAGAAATATTATGGCGAAATCCATGGAGATTAGGGAATTTTTACACAGATGAAAGTTATTGGATATCATTATCAAGGACAATATTTTTATGTTTTTCTGAAGAACAAAAAGATGTCATTAAAAAAGATTGTATCAATTATAAATCATCAATAACAAAACAACAACCCTTATTTAATTACATATCATATATACAATATCTTTCAAATGAACATATTGTAAAGATTGTTGAGACTCTTACAAACGAGAATAATTTTTCGGCTATATTATGGAATTATAATGCAAATATTATTGAAAATGAATTATGGAAATTATTCATGAGTAAATGTTCCTGTGTGAAATATCTTGAACTACCAAGTACGTCCATTTTGCATTTCCTGGGAGCCGATCAATGTTTAACATCTTTACATGAATTTATATGTTCAACTTATAGTCCATCAAAATTATTTTTGGATTTAGCGCAAGTTTGTAGAAATATTAAAAAAATGGTTATTAATCCATGCGGAGATGATAATGAAGGGTTAGAAGCATTAATTTCTTTACAAAATAATTTGCAACAAGTGAAATTATGTTCAATTGAAGGTGATTCATGTGAAAAAATCGGTAAAGCATTAGAAACTCAGTCAAAATCTTTAATAAGTATAACTTTTGAATTTTGTATTTGCGTACCTGTTACAACTCTTTGTAACTTAACTGAGTTAAAATCTTTAAAGATTTTAGTTAAAGATATTGATACAGATTTAGAAGATTTAATTTGTGCGGAACTACCAAAATTGGAAATATTAGAAATTATAAATTCAGCTTATCAACCTCTGGATCTTTATACTTCTCTTATTCAAACTACTCACGGATTTTTAAGAAAAATTCATTTTGGAACTGCTCCACATCCGTCAGAAGGAGAATTAAAACCATATATTAATTCAATCATCAATTTCTGTCCAAACATTGAAGATATTATACTTTGGTATATTGAAGAAATTTATGATGATTTAGAACAATTGTTATCATCCTGTAGAAATATTAAATACTTAGGTCTGGAAGCTTTATCAACTTTTTCTAATCTTGAAGAATCTTGGTGGGATGATAATGATGATGATGATGACTACGATGATAATCAAGAAAATGTTGATATTGATTATAATTTAGCTTGTGATGGCGCATCTATTTTTGATTTATTTATCAAAAAATTTCCTTGTAACTTAGTTCAACTTACTTTAAGTGGTAGTTGGAGATTTAGTGCTTTAGAATTAGAAACTTTCCTGAAATCATGGAAAGGTAGAAACCCTTTATATTTATCATTATTTTGTGATTTTGATATGGGCGATGAATATTCTAATATTTTGAACGATTTTCAATCTAATGGTACTTTAAAAGGTTGGTGTAATATTGATAACATATAAATAAATAATGTGATATTTCTTTTATAGATCTTTACGAAGAAATTGTAAATTTTTTTCTGAGAACTCATATTTTATACTTTACAATAACATCATTTGTTGATATAATAAATAAAATACATTCATTTAAAGTTTCGCAATCTAACTTTATCAGGAATTCAGATTTTATGATTCTTTTTACATTTAAATATGATTATTTAGCCCACCGCTTGCATGGTTATATTTTTATAGAGCTATAGTTCCCGTCATTGTGGAATGGTTTACATTTATAACATTTATAACATTTATAAGATGAAATCAAAAAATGTAAAATCTAGTGTAACTGGAGTGCGTCATCAAACATATACATATAAAATAAAACTAATTTTCAAGCAGCTGATATTGCTTAGAGCTACTAACAAAAAAAATTTTTGGGACCTTACCTATATAAGTATTTTCCGGGGTCCTATCTATGGGCTAAGTATCAAGACGAATCAGATGAGTATGATTGGGATATACTTGCGTTCAAAGTAGAGGAATGTCCCACAACACATGTTGAGAACAAGTACGTACTACCTTAGGGAAGTAGTAAACTGCTTCAAGGACTGGATCGAATATAATGGGGACTTACCTAAAGCAGTTAGCAATAAAGAACTTGCGGATATAATAAGAGTATATAAGGAGGATCGCAATGCTGAGATTATCCCTACCCCTCTGGGTATGAAACTATGAGGTTAGATAAGGAAAAAGCGCAAGAGATTCCAAAGGAGCATCCAAAGACTGATATGGAATGCCAGTGGAAAGCTGCCAATGGATATGTAGACTGGGATGAAGAGGATCTTGATCACATGTGTAGCAAGATTGACTCCTTTTAATAAGATAAGCACCTCTTAGCTATCTTATATTTTTTATATAAAAAACCTATATTACAATTGAACACAATTCATAAATACATCAAATGGTTTATTCAGAGATTGTTCAGTCTTTACTTACAAGACCAGACATTAAAGAACTACAGTATTCAGGCGCAAGATTTTCTAGACGAGCTATTGCCAGACTTGAACAGCAACTCCAATCCCGATACCCAACTCATAAATTTCAGATCCTGCTCCCCTATGAAAACTGGAAACCTGGTGGATGAACATCAGAAAACGAACTGGTAAGTCTCTTCTCACTGTTAGACCATTATAATAAAGCACAACCACTGGTCAAAATTAATGCCATCAGGTACATATCGGGTACCTATATATCAGTGACTAATCAGATACATATTGGACATTTATTACATATCAGATACCCGATATGTAACATATCAAATATGCCTAAAAATCAGATTCCCGATATTTAAACGATTAGTCACTGATATATAACACTGAATCAATCTTACACATATCGGGTACTGATTAGAGATAGGAAGTAGCTCGTCGGTTCAACTTCGCCCAATAGAGCCGTTAAACTGACTTGGAGCGGCTCAGTCTAAACCGACTTAAACTAACTTGAACTGCTCAAACCGACTCAAACCGACTTGAGCGGTTCAAGCAGCTCAAACTGACTCAAACCAACTTGAGCGGTTCAAGCAGCTCAAACTGACTCAAGCGACTCAAACTGACTTAAAGTGACTCAAACTAAGTTTTTTGTAACACTAACCGGCTTTAATAAATCCTTAAACATGATTTTTCAAATTTTTCGCAGGTGACATTTTCCTTTTTTGGAAATTTGTGTAATGTCACGTGATAAAATGGTTCAAGTCGGTCAAGTCGGTTCAAGTCGGTTCAAATTTGTTCAAGTCGGTTTGAGTCGGTTTGAACCGAACTAAGCTGGGAACCATAAGCTGACTCCAAAACCATACTCGAGCTGCTCCTTTCTCAAGTTTTCCCATCTCTAGTACTGATATGCAAAATATTTATTTATTTGTATTATATAATCCAAAGAGGTATATTAAAATTATTACTAAAAAAAGTATTTTAATATTAAAGATAATCGTTTATTCATATAAAACCCCTTATTTTCAATTTTTTTTTATTTTTTCTGATATCACGAATAACTGAAGAAAATATTAAAAATATACATATTTTATTTTAAAATTAATTGGATTGAATGTTCAAATTAATCTTATATACAACTTTATTTTAATCAATTCGTATAAATGTCAATTGATAAAAATAACCTAATAAAAGTATTTAATCATAATATTTAATTATTTTTATGTTTTTTTACCCTTTTTTTTGCTTTTTTTGTTTTTTTTATTTTTTATTTTTTTATTTTCATATTCATCATTATGATATTTGTCACTTTCTTCATATTGATCAGTATTATAATCATATGTTGGAATTTTATTTGTTGAACAATTAAATCTTTTAAGAGCCTCATCAGTCAAACACCAATTTGGTATATTCACTGGAGGCATGCTTGTTGTTGTTTTACATCTTTGAACTCTTTTAATTTTTAGAATTCGAGGTTTTTTCCTCAGTTTTTCAATGTTCGAATCAATCTGATCATATAATGAACGCTGAAGTTTTAATAAATAATTACTATTAATAAATAAAATAAATAAAATAATCATAAATATATATATAGTACATACTGTAGAAGAACGCCACCATGTTTCATATACACCCACCTGCCAAAAGTATCCAGACACCTCTAAAAAATGACCATTAAATCACATTATTTCGACGTCCAGTGATCAGAATTTAATGATTTATGATTCATTGGATTCGTCTAATTGAGGCGCATCTAATCTAGGGATGTTAAGGTCCGTTTAGGTTTGGTTTAGGTTCAGTTCCTTAAATTTCCAATAGGTAGAACTCGGGAACTGAGTTTTTATAATAAGTTTTGAACTTGTTTGAAACTGGGGTTCAAATAAGGTTCGAACTCTTTATTTAAATATAAAAATCGATTTAATTAGCGGTTGCAATTCAAATATCATGTGATATTCAACAAATAATGGAGGGATTTACGATATTATACGTAGTACATATGTATTTTTTTTTTTCTTCCAATTTTTACGGCAAGTTGTTAAATATTTAAAATATTAAACACTATGTGGAGTACATGTAAATTTATTTTTAATCGTTTAATTGATTAACCTCCAAGTTTAGTTTAATTTTAAAAAATTTTTATAAAAAAACCATGGCTCCACCAGTGCTCCACCAACCGTACCCTTATACACTTAAATTTTCGCCAAAAATTATCTTTATTGTTGTATTTATACTGTATATACATTTCACATATAATGTTCAAATACGTAAATTGTGTAAGTAATTATATTTACAGATACTAGTATTAATGATTTTTACTTATACCTTCTTTTTCCAACCAGGATTTAGTGCACAAAGTAGCCCTGACTGTTTCTGGGTCAAGTCTATTTCGGGTTTTAGTAATAGTATTGGCTGCAACAGAAAAAAGTTGCTCACATGCAACGCTAGTTGCTTGAATACAAAGGTAGTCTCTCGCCATTAACGATAATTTTGGAAATTCTTATTGATGTGCCTGCCACCACAATAACGGATCTGCTTTTTCATCACAAGGTAAAGCTAAATATCGGTCTAATTCAGAAAAAATTTCTTCTAATGATATAGAACTTGCAATAGAAGAAATAGATGATCGGCATGAATCACTTTCAGATAAACGACACTGTTTTTGTGCAAAATATTCCCGTGTACTACTATAATCATTTTCATCTTGGGTTTTTTTGCAATTTTCACTTGTCACAACATGATAACTACGTAATAAAGCTGTAACAGTGGATATTGCGTTAGCGGTTGGTGTTCCTGATTCAAATAAAGTAAGTTTTGTCCGAGGATCTAAAATTGCAGCTACTAAAGTTTGTTCATCAATATATTTCCAATAGTCATCAATCTTTTGATTTATAGATGATGCTAATTCATTTTGACTAAATTCTTCTGATCCAATCAAATCATTCAAATAATCCAAAATTCCTAAAAAAACAAACCGAACATCTGCAATTGTCGGATATCTAGCAGCAGAAAGATAGACTGTAGCTTTTTCCAAAGGCTCCAAAACAGTAAGTGTATCCTATGATAAAAAAAATCAAAGAAATTGTATTAATTATAATGAATATAAATTAATACTAATATTCATTCAATTATTCAATACTGACTTTAATTATTTTCCATTCATTATTGGTAGGCATTAAATTTTGAATTTCCTTATTTTCAACTGCCAATAATTGCAATCCACGCCACATTTTTTCCAATTTTCTTAACATATTAAAAGTTGAATTCCATCTCGTCTTACAATCCAATTCTGGTCTCAAATATGTAATTTTTGCGTATGAACACAAATTTTTTAACTGATCGCTAATTACTATTGAATGCTTAATTTTATTCATTAATTCTCGTACTTTAATAACTTCATCTGATATCATTTCAAGTCCTTGTTGTGCAGCAAGATTAAGAATATGGGCGGCACAACGGTAATGTCTAAAATTTTGAGAATCAAGTTGAGTAATCAATTGTTGTTCAAGCGTTCTTTCACACACAATCATAGCCAATTCATTATATATCAGTTGTAATAAGAGCCAAAGTTTTTTCTTGAAGATTAAAATCATTTAAAACATTATTAATTGATGTTGCAATATTGATTCCAGTATGCCATTTAGTAAAAGATATGATATCTAATAGGAAATTCTGCAACTTCCATTTCTGATCAATATAATGGACGGTGAGGCCAAGAAATGCATCATTTGTAAATTTACTCTTCCACATGTCAGCTGTAAGCGCGATTTTTCCTGGAATTTGAGCCATAAATGCACCAATATTTTTTCTGATTGTATTAAATTTATTTACAACCATTTCCTTTAAATTCTGTCAGTTAGGAACTTGATATCTTGGATCAAATATTTTAAACATATAAACAAAATGGAGATTTTCAACAATTTTAAATGGTTGTAGGTCAGAGATTATTCAATCTACAAAAGCTATATTTTACACCTGCTGTTCGGTAATTGGTCATGGATCAACTCTAAGAAAATTCAAAGTTGTTTGAGTATTTTTAATTTTATCTATAATAATATTATGTTTATAATAAAGGTGTTTCTTTAAAGTTGATATTCCCGTCTTTTCACCATATTCTTGAGAACAATTTTTACATATTTTTTTCCCAGAAATTTGTAATTTAAAATAG